ACACAAGAATAGATCATATTTGTTAAGTGTTATTATGGGAGAATTACTATTCTTGTGGTACTACTGCCTTATTAGGCCCATATTGAGCAGAGCATATTAAGACCAAAGCTCATGTACAACAACTTCCTTACTTGCAATAAATAAGCACTAATTAGAGGGTTATTGAGGAAAAACTCTCAACGAATGGCTTATTACTTGTAGAATATGGTCATGTAGAATAAAGCATTAATAAGTGTTTTATAATGACTAATAAAGAGCCAATATACTGCTAATATGCATGTTAATTAACAACTAGTTGATGGTTAATTTGTGTACCTTAATATAAAGTGTGGATAGTTATGTAAATTGTAATCCCTGTAATGATGCTGTATGATGTCCTTTTTGTTGTTCTGTTTATGTTTTTATGTTTCATGTGGAACCTACTTGAGCAGGTCTCCCTTGAAAAAGAGATCAATGATCTCAATGGGATACACCTAGATAAATAAAGGTTTGAAATGAAATGAAATGAAAGTGTTACCTATGCCGGATTCCCTCTTGTTTAGACATCATGGTTTTGGCGATTCCCCGCCATCTTGGTTTTTGGCTTTTGCCATCTTGGTTCTCTGGAACCTGAAGTAAGATAAGATAAGATAAGATAAGATAGTACTTTATTGATCCCAATTTGGGAAATGTTTGTGTTGCAGCAGCATAAAAAGACAAGGGATTGTACAATAAAAATTAAAAGAAATAAACAAGAAAGTTGAAAATATACATGTTGAATTTACAAATGAATAATAACAAGATATAAAGCAAGGTATTATATATACATAAGTATGTGAAAGATGGAATATTAAAGTGAGGCTGAACACGACTTTTCTTTATTAATAATTTTTTACAGTTTAAATGAATACTGTCTGACCATCTTAAATTCCGGAAAATATAAAATAATTATAAATAATTCAGCAGCGTTTAAATACTTCTAATTAAACAATCTGAGTGGGATAATTCTTCCCTGGTGATGTTTTTTTAAGCCCTGAGCCTGTTTTTCAGGTCTCAGGCTCGAAAATGACATTCCCAGAACAAATGGCCATATCTTCCCTTCTAAAAGAGTTAAATTAATAATCTTTATTCTCAAAGTAATGATAAACCTGTGAGTTGGATGTAGAAAAGTCAGAATCAATATAGATGTTTTTTATTTTAAAGAACATTCAGATTGAACATAGTAAAAAACTGTAAATTATAGTTTCCGTCCAAAAAATATTTTTTACTTATAGTGAAAACTACCCTTGGATGATGGGTTAGTAGACTAAAAGCTTTAGGAATCCAAAGTACAACTTATAAGTACCCTGTATCAAGATTGATGCAAAACAAGTGAAATTTGACCTTTATAGAGAGATTTAGCCAAAAACCAAAAGACCCACTTCTGGGGTCATTTGGGTGGATTTGACCTATCTCTGGCCCCCCTTGGTCGATTTTGATGAATGAAATCTCTTTATAACCGCTAGAGCCAATGGAATCGAGGGAAAGTTCTATACACACCAACACGTTAACAAATAAGGAGTGAGAGTGACGCGTGACCAAAACCGGAAGCTGCATACATTCTGGTGGCTACCATTAGCAGCTAACTTTTTCTCTCCGATTTTTACATAAAAATGGAATTATGGATTATAAATAATTTTTTAAAAGGCACAGATACATTATCAACCTATGGATCAACAGTTGTAGATTGACAGCTACGGTGAGACGATCTCCCGTAAAAGCTCCGTAAAGGTACGTGTTGTGATGTCTGTGTTTGCTTCCCCGCTCGGATCGCTCAGTGATGATACCAGTGGCGTCTCCTGGCCTGGGCATCCGGGGCTTTAGCCCCGAATGTTTTTTCTGTAGCCCCGGACAATTCTCCCTCAATAATATAATACATTAACCGTGCTTTACGTGAACCTCATCATGACACTAGAGAGGACGGCAGGACTGTAATTTCCCGTGTTCAGTGAATGCAACAGAGGCATGACACCAGACCAATCAGAGAGTTGCATGGAAATAAACGTGTGCTTGTGTCATTCAAGCTCGGCTCTGTGTGTGTGTGGCAATAGCGCATTTAGTGTGATAGAGAGAGGGAGAGAGGGAGAGGAGAGAGAGGGAGGGAGAGAGGGGGAGAGAGGGAGAGAGAGAGAGGAGAGAGAGAGAGGGGAGAGAGAGAGGGAGAGAGAGAGAGAGGGAGATAGAGGGTCCGGTGCCAGCAGGGACCGTGTTGTTAGCATCTGGTTAGCTAGCTGCACTAACGGACATAAGGAGCTGTTTCCACAACAAGCTGGAGGAGAGTCCTCTCCTGTCAGACTGAGAGGCTCAGGTGAGCTAAAGGACTCTCAGAGTGTTTAGATAGTTAACTTTAGTCTAAGTTATCTCAGTGGGTCTCAAACGGTTTGCTCACAAATTATTCAAAAGATTATTTCCGCGGCACACGTTTATATGATCATTATAGTTATAAAAAAAAGAGAATAAAGGAAAAACAGTTATGAAATACTATGAGACAGTAAAACAAGAATAGAGTTTAAAAGGGGAGTGATTTGTAAAATATCCATAAAGAAAAAGTAAATCTGTTTACAGTTCTGTTTCATATGGGTGTTGAGAGATGTATCCATAGATCTCTTCATTTTGCTCTCAAAGTGCACCAGATTGATGCTTTTAACTTCAATATTTAAAAAAAAATATTCCCGGGGGAGCATGCCCCCGGACCCCCCTAGAGGAGGTGAGGTCCGCCCCCCACTCATAAAAAATAGCTCTTTACCCCTGCCTATAGGCCGTGAGCTGATTATCGAGCCTTCATTGTAACAGTCGCGGGGTACTGTGTATGTTTTCAGGTCCAGGCGACGCCCCTGGATGATACTATAACTATATAATCTGTGGAGTCTCAGCTTTAATCGGATATATTGTATGTGCAGCTACGATAAGTAATAAGGGTATCTTTATCTTGAGTTGTGTGCTAAAGTGCGTTAACATATTTTCGCTTAGTGCTAATTCAGAGGCTTGGTATTACCCTTGTATTTTGTTTTGGTAAAAATGGTTCATATCTTCAGTTAGCTGAGATTCTTCCCGTTAATCTGGTGCTACACATTAATAGTTTCATAAATGTTAAGAAGCCCTGAGACACAGTCTTGAAAAAAAACGGTGGGGGGGGGGGTCCACTGGGGGGACCGTCGTCCTTAAGAGGTTAATGGAGGTCATCAATGTTAAAATGTCAAGATCCAGTTCTAATTTCTTAAAATGTACCTCTAATTATATCAACGTCGGAGTAAGAAGCATTCTAAAGTAAAGATGTTTTAGTTAGAGAAGTTTACCACTTTCATGTTGATTGACTTAAAGACATTATTATTTTTTTATTCCAGTTTAAAATGCTTGTTTCATATTGTTTTCATAGAGGTAGTCAAAGGTTTTTACAGAGGGGATTTTGCATTTCTCACTCCACAAATCAGAAAATAATATAATATAATGTATTTAGTAATAAAAGGCTATCAGAAACTCTGAATGATATCTGGACAAAGGTCTCTGTAAACACTGCTAAAATATAGTTGATAATGAAACTTTGTGGAGATTTCTGCCTCACAGTATTAGAAATAACACATTTTGAGATAACAGCTTTTAAAGATATGGATTGTAAAATGGATACATTTCATACACACTAAAATAGATAATAGATATCACCATAAAACTTCACCAGTTGATTATTTTCTAAGGAACCTGGGGCTGAAGTGGTTTAATCAGAAATGTGTATCTGCGTTGATGAGGGGACTGACAGGTTAAACCGGTCCTATGGGGGGAGAAGTCAGCTATGTGTTTTCAGTCAGACACCCTTCATTTGGTTTGCTGTTTGATTTGATTTTCCTTTCTGTGGTCTCCTCTCTTCTGTCTGGCCTTGAGTCAGGTTGTGACGGACATCTTTTGAAAGGAAATATAAAGTTAAAATCTGAAAATAAAAACGGAGACAGGAGGGACAAACAAAGGTGACTCTTAAAAATATATATAAAAAAGATATGCTGTATGTTCTCCTCTTTCAGCTCTGAGGTTCAAGATGAATTGTCATTTGCAAAACAACTAAAGCTTAGTTTGGGCAATGAACATCTTAAGTCCCAGCCTCCCACAACAATGAAAAAAACAATATACATGAGATAAAAAGAAAAAAATATATAGTACAAAATAGAAAGAGATAAAACTGTAATAATACCTCGTCATTTATTAGTTGATTTATAATTTTGCATAAACAGCTAATAAAGTAGCTATTACTGTAAAATAAGACATTTGGAGTAAAAAACGTATTATCAACCAAAAATCTAAAAGTGAAAATACTGTATTACTGAATATTCTCAAGTGACTTAACTAAATATACTTAGTTACATTCCACCAGGCCTGCACAGGAATCCTCTGATTTAGATGAATAAAGTTCAGCACATTTGATCTGTTATTGTCTTCAGAGAGAATTTATGGGATTTAAGTGAATTTTACAGAAAGATAAATGTGTCGTCTACATACATGTATATGTTCCTTTAAATGTTTTATACTGAATGCTATAAGTTAGCCACTTTTTAAGCGCATCCTATAATTTTGGAGCAAACTTCCATCAAATCAGTTGAAGATGTGCTATTTTTTTTAACCATTCCACATGCATTCTTTGCACAAAACCTGAAAGAACAAAATGTTTTCCCCATAAGGATCAATACAAAATGTGACCATAGACACCTTCATCATCTAATATCTCCAAATCTATACGTAATAAAGATGTCAAACTTGGTATACTGGCTCCCTATAACTTTGCGCATAAGATCCCCAAACGTGGTCCTAATAACGCCAACATCTGGCCAATGTTAAAGCACTTTGCATTATTTTTGCACAGTTACCGATCTTCTTATTGTTGTAACAGATCATTTTTACAATGTTATATAGTACTTTCACTTAAGTGAAGGATCGGAATACATTATAGATGTAATGTAACAGAAAACACACACATTTACATGTTTGAGTTAATCAGAAGTATTTTATTTGTGTTTTCTGGAACGGTTTGCTTGGTGTTGACAGATGTTTGTTGTCTCAAACCTCCTGGGTTTCAGAGCTGACCTCTTCATCGTCAGTGTACTCTTTGGTGATGATCAACACTTTCTGGTTTTTTTTGGTGGCCGGCGGGCTGCAGGACGACACAAACAGTTAGTTTATATAACAATACTTTTTTTTCTTTTAACCTTTAATTTTTAATTTTATATACAAACCACTTTAAGGTTGTTTTTCCCCCAATTGTAACCCTTCTACAGAAAGTCTGCTTGGCATTCACGCATCTCCATTTCTTTTTATTAGTTGCAAGATATATTATTTGTATGTTATTTGTGACTCGGACACCATTTTGATTGTCACTGTGGTTATTATGTATTAGTTTATTTGTTTTATAAAAATGAAAAACATGGTTAACCGTTTTTTCTTGGTAAATAATCATAATTTGAAATATATCTAAAAAAAAAGGTTTACCATGAACTACCATTTTTGTCACTCAAATTTGATTTATTCATCTGTCTCCCAGTATGGGCCAGTGCATTCACCTGAACAACTCTCCGTCCAGCAGCCTCCTGTACTCGGAGATCTCCATCTCCAGCCGGGTCTTGGTGTCCAGCAGGACCTGGTACTCGTGTCCCTGCCTTTCTAGGTCGGACCTGAGCTGAGCTAGCTGGCCCTCAAGGACCAACACCTTGTTCTGGTAGTCTCCCATCATGTTGGAGTAACGGTTCTGTGTGTCACCGAGGGTCCCTTCCAGAGACGCTTTCTGAAGAAGGAGAAGAAAGAGTGTGAGGATTCAAAGATTCATAGGCTTTATTGTCATATGTGGAATAGCAATTGAATAAGATACAACCGAATGCCATACTTCATTAGTACTTTAATTATGGTGCTAAAATATATTTTAATTAAGATTGAATCCACCTTTATTAATTCCCAAATGGGAAATGTGTGCTTCATTCTGGTGTTATTTTACAATTACACACAGGCAAACTGGCCCTTCGCCAGCTACCAGTCCACACTCCATATGTCTGGTCTGATCTGCACCAATTCCATTCCCAAGCCAAGTCCCTTCAGACTGAGCTACTGCTGCCCAATTTTGATGCCAATACTTTTGTTTTTGAGTAAAATTTGTATTTCAGGACATGTATTTGTGACCACTCTATTATTGGCATTTCTCCTGAAGTACTGTAAGAGACCTGATTACTTCTTCCTCCATTGATTGAATGCTACAGTATACCCACCATGCTGAGCTGTGATTGGAGCTCAATCTCCAGGCCCTGCAGCGTGCGTTTAACCTCCGTTATCTCGGAGCGAGAGGACTGGAGAGTCTCTGTGCTCACTGCCACCTCCTTATTGAGTTCTTCAGACTGCAAAAACAACAAGAAAACATCGAAAAGTACATTAGAAATCAGATCTGCTTATAAATCAAACGGTATGAAGATGACACTGTCACTTTCAATTCACAAACCTTTATTGCTCTCTGTACCTCTGGACGTTTTTATCTTTGAAAGTCGTAATCATGACATGGAAGGCTAACATTTTTACCCAACATTTCATATTTCTTCTTGGTATATCATATAATATTGATTTGAATAGTCTTTCATTGCATTAAAATGCCATTATTATAGAGACAGAAAGATAGACTGGACTGCTATCGTTTTTTAGTGAAGTCTAGTCTAAATGCGGAAAAACACAATCTTGCTACTGTAGAAATAATCCTGTTTGAGGAAGATAATTTCAGAAGTAATTAATGAAAAGTCATAAAAGGGTTTTTCATCAGAGGGTTGATTTTGCTCACCTTGGCCTGAAACCAGACATCCAGATCTCTCCGGTTCTTGTTTGCCACGGTCTCGTAATGTTCTCTCATTTCACCCATAACAACAGACAGGTCCTGCTGTGGTGCGGCATCCACCTCCACGTTCACCTGACCCCCCACCTGGGAGCCCATGGCCAACAGGTCCTGCAAGAGTACAGTTCCAAGACAAAATTAAGTCGATAATAAAGAATAGGTGTTAGTTTGTTTATCAGAATACAAATGTGAGTGTTTGTTGCATGCTTTTCTCTTTTTCATGTCATTTTTAAATGAAATTTCTGAGATACTGGTATGTTGAAAATAAGTAAATTCCTTTCATTTTCAATATTTTACTTCTTTTAAAATCCAGCTGATTTAAATCTTATTGAGTTTGCAGGTTGTCGCCTACCTCCTCGTGGTTCTTCTTCAGCTGGATGAGTTCATCCCGCAGAGACTCGATATTCATCTCCAGATCCGATCTGCCCAGTGTCAGCTCGTCCAGGAGCCTCCTCAGCCCGCCGATGTCCCCCTCCACCGAATGACGCATGGCCAGCTCGTTCTCATACCTGCAACACACCAACCATTCCATCAGCTACTCCACCCGAAACAAACCCAGAGAAATCACAGCAAATTCTCATTTCGGTACATACTATAACGCATACTATAGACTATAGTATGCGTTATAGTATGTAGTATGTACTGATGCACTATAGTCTATAGTGCATCAGTACTTGATAAGGTGTGGCTTATTTGAAGATAATGTACTTACAGTACAGGATTCTTTCTGTTGATTAAACAACTATGAATATCCAATAATAATAATAATAACTATTATTAAAGATATATATATATATATATATATATATATAGATTCTATACTTTACTATAATAATAAATAATAATATCTAGAGTTGACGGAAGGATAATATATAACGGGGCTAGCATATGTCCTCCTAATTTCATCATGATACTGATAAATCATAGTCAGCAAGGGCCGAATAACAAAGAAATAAAAATAACAATAATTAGTAAATATACAGAAGAAACCCACATAAAACAGTTTATAAAAAGGTAAACTAGCATTAAAGGTATATTTTAGTAACCCATTGTTATCTATTATATGTCTTTTGTTTCTAATGACCTGTATTTTGCATCCCTAATTTTCTTTAAGTTCTAGTAGCCTTAACTAGGCTGGGCTTTGACAATACATTGAAAAGCTCCAATACATTAAATAAATGATCATGATCTCACTTGACCCTGAAGTCGTCAGTGGCCAGCTTGGCATTATCGATGGCCAGGTACAGAGATCCATTTGTTGTGGTGGCGTAAAGGATCTGAAACAAAGAGGACTCACCTTTAGTCTTTTAGTCGTCATCAGACTCTCTGAATATAACGTGTACTGAGACTCTAAGACAACATATTATCTCAATTCTACAAAATGACATTTCTGCAATGAAATGATTAAGTCCCAGTCTCCTCCAACACTGCAAGAATGGGAACATGTGTGCAATAAAAACAGCACAGTGAGCACACTAAGGCCTATCTGCAGGTTTTTCCTGTTTCAGACTCAAAATGAAAAGAGAAGAGATAATTATATTCAAACATAAGTCACATTTCTGCCTCATTGTTTTTGTGTTGCCTGTATGCACATCATGCAAAACTGGAGCCCGAGCCTGATCCCGCTTCAGCAAGCCTTGCTGTGTTTAGGGTGTGGCTGAACCTGAATGGATCCTGCAGGAAACACATCTTGTTTCTCCGTCTGTCCGTCTGCAGGCTGCACACCTGAGGGGCCTAACATTGTCAGGGAGGAGGAATCTCTGAGCTGAACAAGATTCATTTTCACATGATCTCATTCTTTATTGTGGCTCTGCTTTGGGATTAGGGTTGAACATGAGACAGCATCCAGTCCTGCAATCTACCTACACTGAGGCAACTGTTTGCAATTCTTTTGGTAATATGAATGCTTTAAGATCTCTTGGAATTCTCAAGAAAAGAAAAAAACATGTTATCCCGTGGACTGTTAAAATCAAGCAATGAATCAAGTAGACTAAATAACTACCATCTGGGAGGAGTCCAGATTTTAAAACTATTTTATTCCTACTGCAATAAAAACATAAAATATGAAAACCAACAAAGCTTTATCTTTACTTTAATCTTTTTCACTGTCACCACTTTGCAGCTATACTTGTATAATGTTTCTTGTACCTCTCTTTGTCTTGGATTTTCTGCATGTGGATTGGGTTTTATGACGTGGGTGGAAGCTCAATCCAATTACCTTACATTGCGGGACAATAATGTGAAACCTGACTCCCTCACCTGGTCCTGCATGTCGCTGATGGCTGCCTTGAAGCCGGAGCAGTCGTGGCCTTCGGGTTTGGTCTTGTTATCCAGGAACTGTCTGATCTTCAGCTCCAGCTCTCCGTTGGCCTTCTCCAGGATGCGCACCTTGTCCAGGTATGTGGCCAGGCGCTCGTTCAGGTTGGTCATGGTGGCCTTCTTGTTGTTGTCATTTACATCTATGGCGTCTTTCAGGTTGAAGCCTGACCCGGCTCCGAAGGAAAACCCTGACCGGGCTCCGGTGGAAAACCCTGCTCCGGCCGAGGAGAAGCTCCTGGGAGCACTGCTGGAGATGCGGACCCCGGACCCCCCGGCGCCACCGTACACGCTGGGGGCCCTCATGGAGCCTAGGCGGTTGCTGGAGGAGAAGCGAGCGTAGGAGGTCATGGTGGAGGAGTGCTGCTGCTCGGGATGCAGAGAAGAGTAAAGCACACTTTGTACTCAGATGCTTTATAGCACCTGGAGTGAGGGGAGGGGTGCAGGGTCCGGCAGGAAGACGACAAACACAGCGAGCAATCACAGCAGGAATTTCAAGCATCTGTTTGATGTCACTCTAAAAAGCCTGTTTGTTTCTGAAAAGGTCTCTAAGGTAACTCAATCATCGTGTTTGTTCAGGTATCTCCTCCTAAACCTGCAAGAATCTACTTTTTTTATCTATTTTATCAGATGTGGAACTTGTTCAGACCCTCGACCCTCCTCTGCCCCCCTCCCCCCCAATGGATTCCTGTTAGCATGTTGAAACCTGTATAAGTCATTTCCCCCTGCAGAACCACTCACAGATGCCCCTCTCAGGTCTCTTATTGTGCAACAAACAATGGAGCTCTTTGTGCCGACGCTCTGTTTGCTGTCCCTTAACATGAGCACACATTCACCCTGAAGTGGCTTTATGGTGAACATTTTTGAAACTCAAATACAGCAATCCCACAAACCCACTTTACACTTTATTATATGAAACTAGGGACTATCAGTTTAAAAAAAATCTCTCTTGATCCTTTAAAAGAAGAATGTCAACTATTGCAAAATATTCTGATCCTTTAAAGGTCACCTATTATGCAAAATCTACTTTTGTATGTCTTTTATACATCAACATGTGTCCTCTCTGTGTAAAGAGATTCTGAAAGTTATAGGAAAAAAGATTCGCTCACCTTTGTCCTGATCCATTTATATAAAAACTGAAAGTAGTCTGAAAATGAGCTGATGAGATTTTGGCCACTTTATGATGTAATAACGATTTTTTTTTTAATCGTAATTATTAGCCAATCACCAACCAAGGTAACCCCCCCCCCCCCTTATCACCTGACTCTCCTCCTAGACCTCCATTGTGTTATTTTTAACCAAATATCTCTCAGAGGGGCGTGGGGAGGGGCTCCTTATTTTCATCTAAAGTAACAGACAGAGAATCAGCACTTTTGAAACAGGGCTGAAACAGAGGGGATTATGGGATGCTACAATGATCTGTTTGGTGTTTGGAGCCAAACACTTCAGAGACATGTTTTGTATATATCTGAGACCAATAATATATTGATGAAAAACAGTATAATAGGGGACTTTTAATTGTACATTTAGCTATCAAATAATGACAATATGTATTACTACTTCCACTTCCTCATTCATATATCTGCAGTTTTGGGTTTATAAAGGTGCACACTTTGTTTTTATTTACAGAGAAAAAGTCTTAGGACCAGGTTTCATTTATTTTATAACGGTTGTTTGGACTTTATTCTGCCTGTCTACACTGCATCTCCCTTTATGCATTTCCTTCATTCACAAAGACTGTTTTGGATAGTGTGTCTGAGTTTTATTTTATTGACATGGCTACTCAGAGGCAAAAATAAGTATTTTACTTTAAAACAGTAGCTTCAAAGAGAACGTATAGCACCTAATAGAATAATATATAATAAAAACTACTGTTTTGTTATAAACATATAGAACCAGGTGATAATGGATGACTCAAATGTTCCTTTTGTCCCAGTATAATTGAATTACAGATATCTGCATAATACATCCATTAACCCGCTGAGGCCCACAATAGGACTATTTCCGTTATTGTATATGTTTGTGTCTTGCCTTGTAAATTATCATTTTTTACAGTATTATCAAGTTTTACACATCCCAGAAATCAACATAACCTCAGGTAATGTTATATGTCACTCATTAAATACTTATATACACTATAATAGGGGATATATGCCCATAAAACAAAAACGGAGCTTGAATTTTTTACTTATTCTTTACTTATTTTATTAAAACAAGAACAAAGACACTTCTAACCATAATATTGAAAAAAGCATTCAACACAGAAAACTGCATACATTTGTTGGGATTGTGCGAGAAGTGATTAGAAGCTTCTAACTTCTTCTGTTCATGAGTTATGCCCATTCTTTTGGGCAGTGTCGATGAGTGTTTTTAGTAAATAATAAAGGGGCCCTTTAATGCTGTGCCTCTACTGTGACATGTTGGCAGGAGCTGTGGCTAGGCAGTTGCACCTCGTTTTGTTAATGAATGCAGTCTAGTTGTTTGGGAGAAAGGAGCATGGTGAGTTAGTTTTGGTGGTCCTGTATACACAGACGTGAGTTGCTGTTCTGTCCATTTAGTCTTGAGATCAGATTCTCTTTAAAGTGTGTTGGGGAGTTTGGCAGTGTGGCGTGAGTGGCTGGAGTGGGAACATTGCATCCGTCTATATTGGGACGTCATCTAAAGTTGCAGGTAGGTGACCAATTGCAGTTACTGGTCTTGCGGGTTACAGTGCACAAATACCCATAACACCTGTAACTCAAGGGGAGTTTAGTTAGTTTCATGTTAGGTAGTTAGAGGGGCATAGCTGCGGTTATAAGGCTGTGTATGGGCTGTTGAAGCTCTGGCTGCAAATGTGCAACCGAGTCTCACGGCATTTTGTGTTATAGTCACAACATTTAATCTATTGATTCGTGTTCACCAACACGATTTTCCCCTTTTTTTCGTGTCACAGAGAACGATTTTAAAAGCAATGTATTTCAATTGGTAGTATGTTTCGTGCCTGCAACACATCTTTTTGTCCGTTCGGGTCTTGGCAACCCAGTCTCACATCTAAACGTGTAATAACTACGTTGGTCCACAACTTGGGACGTAGTATTTCTACAAAAACGCCTCTGAAATTGTAGGATCCCTACGTTTTTTTTCCCCATTCATTTCCAATGGCTGGCGTCTATGTCACGTGATCTTCAACTTTCTCTCCGCAGAAATAAAAAAACATGGCCGACCTTAGTTTTATTCTCGGTAGAAAATGCCTATTTTAAGGTTAGTTTGGCCATTAAAATGCGTTTTGATGTCATTTGATGCGAGAAATATGAGTTGTTATTTCAGATTATGTGTGCAGTGGATGTACATGATCTTTAGTTTGCTAGTTATTACGAAGAATACTTCAGGAAATTGTTACCAAGGTGGTTGCTAGGGACGCTGCTATCGATATTATGTCTGTTATGTTGTGTAACTGTTTAATGGTGTTATCTTTATTGCTACCCCCTTCCCCGTCAATTTATAGTGTTGGTCCACAGCGCAAACGTATTAGTTTAACAAAATCTGCATCTAAAATTGTGGCATAGATACGTTATTTTCCCCTGTGCAATTCTCCAACCCAGTCTCACATCTCACATCTCACATCGTCATAAACACCGGAAACAGAAGTATGCAAGATCCTCAGCTCGGTGATTGGACGGTTTTGCCGCAATGCATGTTGGGAAATGGTGTTTATTATCTGAAAACAGGAAGAACTGCCGCCAAAACTGAAAACGTGACGTGGATCATAAATATATCAGCAGTTAAACAACATCTTAGATTTATTTTCACACAATACGTCTCCTTGCAGTATCAACACTAATTCGGCTGACTTTTATATTTGATCCAATTGGTAGACCATAACGGTGCACAGCTGATAGAAAGGGACACCTACTGGTTAAAGCACGTTATTGAATTTTATTATTTGTATTATTAGATATTAATAGGATCCCTATAAAGTATATTCATTACTCGTTATTCTCTACTAATAGTTAATTAAAGACTGTATATAATGACTATTTTGCACATCCCTTTCAAGATTTCAAGATTTTCTAAGGTTTATTGACATATCATATTATACACAACTACGGTGTAGTTATGCAATGAATGAAAAACTTGGGTCACAGGTTCCTCAACAGTGCATTACAAGACATCTATCAATATGTGTGTATACCTCCAACATTAAACTGTCATATTCTGCACATTTCTTATACTATCTACATACATCTTATAAGAGTAATACATATGTATAATATCAGTTAAAATAAGTGCTTCAACATAGTTAACATTGCTGGAGGTATAAACACATATTGATAGATGTCTTGAAATGCACTGTTGAGGAACCTGCGACCCAAGTTTTTCATTCATTGCATAACTACACCGTAGTTGTGTATAATATGATATGTCAATAAACCTTAGAAAATCTTGAAATCTTGAAAGGGATGTGCAAAATAGTCATTATATACAGTCTTTAATTAACTATTAGTAGAGAATAACGAGTAATGAATATACTTTATAGGGATCCTATTAATATCTAATAATACAAATAATAAAATTCAATAACGTGCTTTAACCAGTAGGTGTCCCTTTCTATCAGCTGTGCACCGTTATGGTGTAAATACAGCCTATCTACCAATTGGATCAAATATAAAAGTCAGCCGAATTAGTGTTGATACTGCAAGGAGACGTATTGTGTGAAAATAAATCTAAGATGTTGTTTAACCTGTTAAGCCCCAAGCCTGTTTTTCAGGTTTCAGGCTCGAAAATGACATGCCCAGAACAAATGACTTTAACTTCACTTCTAAAAGGGTTAAATTAATAATCTTTTTTCTCAAAGCAATGTTACATCTGTGAGTTGGATGTAGAAGTGTCAGAATCAATATAGATGTTTCTGTGTCAGAGAAAATTCAGATGGAACATAGTAAAAAAGTGTAAATTCTTACCTCCGCCTAAAAAAACCCCATTACTTATAGTGAAAACCACCCTTGAATGATGGGTTAGTAGCCTGAAAGCTTTGGGAATTCAAAGTATAACTAATAATAAGTACCCTGTATCAAGATTGAGGCAAAACAAGTGAAAATTGACCTTTTTAGAGAGGTTTAGGGAAAAACAGTCCAGGCGGACTAAGCTTTGGGCACATTTGGGCACGTCTGGTTCCATCAGTGCCATTTGACCTTTTTCAGGTACCAGACAGTAAAAATCATTTTATAACATTGAATCATCACTATAGGTATTCATTCCATAAAAAATAAAAAATAAAATAAAAAAAATAATAAAAAAATAAAAAAGATTGTAAAAATTATTGTAAAATAAAAAAAATTAAAAAATATATTTAAGTGTGTGTGTGGGGTGTGTGTGTGTGTGTGGGTGTGTGGGAAGTTCCCTCTTTGCATGAGATGCATGTTTACTTGCACAATAAAAATGAGGAAACATAGGAAACATTTGACTCCAACTGGAGCAGATTTATATAAAAGAATGTTAGCACTAACACAATAACACCACACTTTAGGTAAAAAAAAAATTGGGTGATAAAAACTCTCAAAACTTTATACAAACCAACCCTGAATGTTATGGTATTATTGCAGTAAGTCATGCCATGCCCT